ATTCCATTCTTTCACATTTGTGGGCGAAAATCTCTACGCCTGGAGCCACACATGTCCGAGTTGTCCACTTCGAGTTAAGTCAGGCTGTAAGAGATTCCCTCTTTCAATCCCTTTAGAACCCCTCCATTAGTGACTGACAAGAAGTAGAGTATATTTTTTTCTGGGGAATAGACATAAATCTCAATAATGTCCATCCTGGACCACCTTTCGACTTTCTTACCCTCTCCCACTTGCCAAATGACAGCTAATCATGCTTTATTATTGATTCAGAGTAATCTTCCAGGAACAAAAGGCCATACAAGTCAGGAGTATAAGATAAATGAGATGATGGCGCCTAATCTATTCCTTGCCTCATTTTCAGCGTACACCATAATTTTCTTTATCAAGCATCAACGAAAAAACGAGGCCTAATACTAAATTAAAGTATAATTACAGGTATTTACAAACCAAGTTTCACACCAGGCCAAGACTGCTCGGGATTTGAGACATTCTGGCGTTTTTGCTCTCTTGTATCCGTTTCCTTGACTCGCTTGTCTTCAGCTTACAACAAAATACAGGTTTATCAGATGCCCGATTCTGAAGAAATTATAGATACCGTTCCTATGCCACAAAAACAAGCTTGCTAGGCCTAATGTATGAGACTTACACATAGAGTTAATCGGAAAAAAAGAGTAATTAATCTAGGAAGATAATCGACGTGGCAATCCAAAATTGAAGCAAGGAATGAGGATAGAGCGCAGTGAGATAGGAAATTTACCAGATAACTATACTTGTCATCTAAATTGTTTTCAGATTGGTGCGAAAGATGGCATTGCTCAGTGATGATGCTGACTAGGCATCAAAGATCTGATGCAAGAAGAGCACGTGACAATAATCACGGATGACTAGATGAGTGCGTTTTTCGAAATTTCCCATAGAACACGACTAATTTGCGCAAAAGAAAGTCTATTCAGATAGCAAGTATGCAAAATAGGATAATAAATGGACTATTAGAAGAGGGGATCTTTCATGTCATGATAGTAGAAGTAATTAAACAAATTCCATGTTAAAAATATTATGAAGTCAATTTATCCAGTGAGAACTAGAGTGTATTAATTCGTGTGGCATGATGATGAAATAAGACGAGAACTGATGAGTAAGTTACCTTCCGTCTCGCTCCGCAGCTCCTCCGGGCGTCATGGCGCGAATGAAGATGCCTAGCTTCTCAGCGCCAGTCGATGGGCTGATCCCCATCCCTAGGATGCTGATACCCAGTCCATTAGTATCTATGGTTGGTGGTAAAAAGAAAAGGGAAGGAAAAGAAGGAGCATAAAGTGGAAATTAGAGGCTAATTGAGGTGGGGGTATATAAGAGACTCAGCAGGAAAGGCTCAGTGTGGGCCAAACTTAGAAACTTATTAAGAAAAATTATAATGAAGACTGATGGTTAACTAAATAAATCAGTAGAAAAAATCACAGTTGACCGATCTCGCCATAAGTAATTAGTCAGAAAAAAGGTAAAAAGAAGCTAATCCATGGAAAGGTATAAGAAACGTGTTAGAAAAAGAAAAATAAGTGAATTATATAACACTGTAAATAAATAAGTAGAGTGAAGAAAATAAAGTATCTTTTTTATATAAGAGCCTGAAGCGTGAATCAATGGAGTTGATTGTGCTAAGTAATTGGAATATGCGCGGAAATGTAGGGTTTAGAAGAATCTCCTTATTTATAATTGTTGGAGATATGAAGACCAAGATGGTATGGCTCTCGGAATGGTCGCAGTCTCATTTTGATTTATATAAGTAGGCTGACCTCGTTTTCGCAACCTGCTCTTGTTGTCAAAGAGACTTAGTTGAACGCACCTTGTCCGAAGCCCTAAACCATAGTAGTTATCATAATTCTTAGCATCAGACCGTGGACTTGGTACATTCCCAAATGTTTCGCCGGCATCATCAGTGAGTCTTACCATTCTTCGCGTAAAGCTACAAACTCGTCAGAGACAAGTGAAGTCAATCCCTCGAATATCGTTTTGCCGAAACGGTTACACTATCACTTCTCTTTCTGTCCTCGCTCATTTATCTACTCCTTGCCCTCTTGTCTAACTCCCTCTCTATCACAACTTCTGTCTTGTTCGCATTCCACACGTCAAAATGTATGCAATAGCTTGGCAAATTTAGAGTGGCCTCATCACACCTACAATTCACCCTGGCCACCTCTCTTTCAATCGGCCAATCCGACTCTAACCTCCTATCCGGATCTCCCTCATGGTCCAGCAGATTTGTTTCTCATCTTCTGTTTCACTGATTTCACTCGGTTCCAGTCCCAGTGTGCGTTTTACTCCAGGAGCTGTTTCTCAAGCCCCTAGAAATACGTAGACAGCCGCCTCACCGAGCAGAGCGCCTAGGCTCTGATTTCCATGCTTGTAGATATCAGGCATTGCCTTCGTGGGTCGTCTCTTTGATCAAACCCGTGTTACCTGAGCAAACTGTGGACGCCTATCTCTGGTCTAGTGCGGCATCTCAAGTATATTTCTAGTACGGTTTGGCCATAATGTCGAATTTCTGTGACATTTTGCTTATCCGTCGGCCTAGTTACCTGACTGCCAGGCCCCCAAAGTTGTATTGGTATATAAGTACAGACATCACTCACTGATAACGTCTTCGTTTGATTTCCGAAATTCCCCCCTCCCGTTTGCTCATTGCGATTCCTTTTCTTCAGGTAGACGATAGATCCTTGATCCAGGCGTCTTCTTTTCGCCGGTCTTGCTGTATTTTTGATTTCCCCGAGTTTGCTTATGCAGTAGGCAAAGTTGTCACTAATTCTGCCTTCCTCCAATCTCCTGTTCATTAGATTTTTCCCTCCAAGTATGCCAATGGCCTCCCTAATCTTCGCTTTATTGTGTTTTCATCATATATGGCCCTTCTTCCAGTTTCCTTCCAATAGAGAGATATGAGATGTATTCCGCTATTTCCTATCTTTCGGTTTCCATTTTCCTGCAGAGCCTTTGATGTTTCTTGATTCGACTGCCGATTTTTATCCCTATCTCGCCAATATATTTATGTTCACATGCCCTTCATGCTATGTTGCGTGTTGCTTTTTATTTCGTGATCATCTGAATATTTCATTTTATTAATATTGGCCGTAGTTTCTGAGTTGGTTCGCAGGGAGGCATATCCACTTTTGTGAATCTTTCTTCATCATTACCTTCCTTTCACAACCTCCGTCCTGCCATCAGCTCTTCACGGTCAGTATATTTCTTTGTATTACTTCTCTCGGGTATCCGTTGCCGAGGAATATCCGAATCAACTTTTCCAAGTCCTCATTCCAAAATTCCATGCAAGCAAATTGTAGCCTTCTGATCATCATGCTCCTCAGTATTCCTATCTTCATTCTGTAGTTTTAATGAGACTCAAAATTGAGTATTATTCTGGCACGACTTATTTCTGAATAATTTCCTCTTGAGTGTCCCAATAGAGCAAATAACTTCAACGACCCTCTTCCTCTACTTCCATCGTGAATTTAATTTTTTAATCAATCTGGTTCATAAACTTCGGAAAATCTTCCAGTTTTACTCTTCCATATAACCAAAGTGCGAAGCAATCATCCAAATACCGCATGAGCACTGCTAGTTGTCGGGGTGATATCTTGAAGTTCTCTAATTTGTATATGTATACGTTTGCCAAAAAAGGTGAGAGCAGAGATCGCATGGAAAGTCAAAATATTTGTTCACAGATGGTCCCGTTGAATGTAAAATAGGTTGTCCTTACTGTCCAGCTGATTAGTCGTGTTAACGACTCCCTCCTGATCGGTTGTCATTCAAGGATATCCTAATCTCGGTCCAGGATTTCCTACAGGGCCGTTAGCGCATTTTCTCCAGAGATATTTGCATACATGGATTTTGTATCAAAACTTACCGATAAGTCTGTTCTTTCTAGTGCCATGTTTTTGATTTTTTTCAGAAAATTCATATGAATGCTTAACCGTGTTTGATAGCCTGTCATTAAATTTATTGAGTATCCAACATATGAACTTTGCCAATTTGTGCGTTGCTCCATACTTGTTGTTGACTATCAGCCTTAGTGGTTCGCCTTCTTTGTGTATCTTCGGTAATCTGTATGCTGTTGGTGGTCGTGCATCCTTTCTTATGATTGAATTTCTTGTTTATGCGTCTATTTCCCTGTTCCCATGTATATTATTTAGCATGCCATTTAAGATTCCATTGATCTTCATATTTGGGCCCTTCTTTAGTTTACGATATGTAGTCCTGCCTCACATCATGTGTTCCATCTTCTCGATATATTGTTTTTTTGTCTATTATCACTGTAACTCCCCCTTTGTCCGTCTAAAGGACTAATTGTTCATTCGTTTCCAGGGTTTTGCGTATCCTGATAAATTTTTTCTTGTGAGTTGGTTCTTGATTCGTCCAGATCTTTGGAATTAGTTCCATCCCTATTTCCCGTTTGTCCCCTCCGGGAACTTTTCGGAGATATTGATAACTTCTATCAGGATTTCTCCTAGAAGGCTTATGTTATTTTGAAGTGAAAAGTTGAGTCCTTTTTCCAGGTTCGTGGTGGTTTCGAGATTAAGAGAAAATGATTATAAATTCATAACTTTCTCCAGATCGTCGTGTTGATCAGTAGGTGTTATCATCTGGAAATTTACTTCAACTGGGCATACTGGCATTAACTTAAGCTGTTTTATAATCCCAAACTTATGCCGCTTTGTTATTAAGCCAGAGATCCTACGTGATTTCCTGTCGGTCATACTCTGGAGTGTTTAAAAGTCTTCCAGAATCAGCATTATGTTCAGATCACGTCTTAGCTTTGATTTAATATCTATAAACTTAAATAGCATATTCCTCTCCGTAGCATACGTTGAACTTAGTTTTTGAATAAAAGCCTGGTGGAAAAACTCATTAACTTTATCCTGGTGGTAGAATCTCTTAAGTTCACAGAAATCAGGAGTGATACTATAACGTTTACAACAGTTTAAAAAGGTCAGATGGAAGGATTGACTTACAATTGTCTTCTTTGTTCAACTGTAGTCAGTGGTAAATCTGGAAATATTACTATCGTAGTTTAATCCAAGATATGAAGACCAAAATGGTGTGACACTTTATGGTCGCAGTCTCCTTCGATTTTTAGAAGTGAATTAACCTCGCTTTCGAAACTTGGTCTTGCTGGTAGAGCGACTTAGTTCAACGCATCTTGTCCGAAGTCCTCTGTCATAGTGGTTATCATAATTCCCAGCATCAGACCGTGGAATTGGTATATTCTTAGACGTTTCACGCCATCGTAGTCGGCATCATCAATGAGTCTTACCATTCTCCGAATCGAGCTACAAACTCGTCAAAGAGACAAGTGTAGTCAATCCCTCAATGGTTGCAATTATTACTACTCTTTCTATCCTGGTCAATCTATCTACTCCTTAACTTTTCAATAATGGAATACTGTAATTAAATAAGTAGGGTAATGAAAATAATGTATGTTTTAATTACATAAGAGTCTGAAGCATGAGTCAATGGGGTCGATTGTGCTAAGTAATTAAAATATGAGCGGAAACGTAGGGCTTGTTAAGATCACTTCCCTTTCGAGTCAAAGTGTTTAGTGAAGAGGTTCGAAGGTTGATCCCACCAGAAGACGATGGCTGATCCCTCTTAACTGGCAGCCAAATGGCTTTACTGGAACATTTTTGTTAAAGTTTTTCTATACGAATTAGTCAACTCTTACTCTCTTACAGGAAGACAAAAAGCACAGCAACTTAACCAGACGTGCGTCCTACTTTGCATAATCGAGATTGAGGTTTATACATATATACATACATACATACATAAATACATACATACATACATATATATATATATACTGGATTCGTACATATAAGAACATATGGACATAAGGACATGCATATAAGGACACACAAAAAGATGCACTCAAATGCCTTAAGTTTGGCATATAACTTGACCTAACCAAATAACTTTATGCCTCATCAAAGAACTTAGATATAGGGTAAATAAAAAGCATTTGTGAGTAAGCCTGAGAGGTTTATTGACTCGTTACCTTGAATATGGTTGTAAGAATGCTATCCTGCTTTAGTGATGTCCGTTATACGACGGACGAGAGCTTAGCATGCTTTCGCCTGAATAGAAAGAGATTGCTTTGGAAACAGGATCAACAACAATGTTTCAGTAAGGCCAATCGAAAGCTGATCAAGAGAAATTAGCCATCGTATTCTGGTGGGATCGATCTTCGAATCTCTTCAACAAACATTTTCACTCGAAATGGAAGTGAGCTCAACAATAATAAATGACTAGAACCTGTCAGTGACAGAACGATTGGAGCATGGATTTTCAGATAGAAAAATGAGACTTAAGGGTTGTGTGATATTAAATCTATAAAGTCAGAAAGATTTGCCAAATAAATAAGTATGATCACTATAAGTTTCGATGTTGAAATAAAGCCTGACAATTGAGCTAATCTCCGGAAGTGGAGAGGCTTTGCTTTGCCATTTGATTCTCTTCAGCCAGGCAAGGTTTCTAAAAGTAACCCAATATTATTGCAAGTTTTAAATCATAGTAAAGCATCATCATGCGAAATAAAGTAAAAGCAGAAAATGCATGATTCGAAGGCAAGATAGATAAATGGGTCGACGAGAAGAATCAATAAAGATGACCTCGGCTAAATACGCGTATCTCTAAACAAGCGTCTTCATAATTTATAAAATGAACACCTATGCATTAGCATAAATGTCGGGTTAAAGATAGGAATCTTCATAAAAAAAGTAGAGCTCATAATTATTCCGAGCTTGGTGTTGTGCTTGGTCTTAACTTTGATTATTCTCATGCTGTTAGCTTAAAAATGGTCATGATCGCAGCCATAAGATAATGGCTGTTTTATAGGCCACAATCGTGACTTGAAACTTAGCTGAAAATAGAGCAGAAATGTATTGGCTATGACGATAAAATTAAGCTGCATTTATACGATTCTAATATTTTATAAACCATGCTGTCCGAAAATGCCAAAAATGGGCAGATCACGCACCAAATCTGAATGATATTTATTTGTGTAACAAAAAATCGACATCCAAGATTTTAGAAGTTGTTTGACCTTGTTCTCGCAACTCGGTAATACTGGTAGGAAGACCTGGATGAACTCATTTAGTCCGGAGTCCATAGTATGAATGTTAATTTCCAAAGTCGGACCGTGGACATAGTACATTAAAGGACATTTCGCCAGCATCGTAGCCATTCCTAGCACCACACTACAACTCGTCAAAGAGACAAGCGAGGCCGATCCTTTGAGCAATTGCCTGCCAAACAATCGTGGTATCTCTACTTCCTCCTTGGGCTAATGACCAATACCATATTATCTTATCACCCCTTCACTAACACAATTTTTACTTGCTTATTTAAATGTGGTATGGTACTCCCTTTTGAGC